TGTCATCATAGTTCACTGTGACATTAAATTCCTGGGCTCAAGTGATCCTCCCGTTTCAGGCTGTTGAGTAGCTTGGACTGTTAACCATGCCTGGATAATTTTTCTATTTTTTGTAGAAATCAGGTCTCACTTTCACTTGGGGTGGTCTCAAACTCCTGACCGCAAATGATCCTCCTGCCTCAGCCTCCAAAGCATTAAGATTATAGGCGTGAGCCACCATGCCTCGTCCCAAAATTACATTTGGGATGGAACATTTTCTTCTTTTCCTAATAATCCTGGGCCTTTGCACAAGCAACTTATCTATCTGGAATTACAGACTCATTCAAATACACACCGAGCCAACATAGCGGGTTGCCTAACCCACTGTCCATCCCCTTCCTATGCACCTGGGAAACCTAAATCCATCTTCGAAGACTCAGAAATATGATTCCACGGTGTAAACCTCACTGTTGCCTGTGGTGAAAGCCTGGTTTGGAAGCTTGGTTTTACATTTATAAAAAGTAAAAAAGATGACCAAGGCAACTGGTTTGAATTCCAGAAAAAGGAGAAAATGCCCTTTATCCTAGAAATCCTTTCCTGTTGTACATAAACCTCCCCAGGCTTGGCCACAGAATCCACCCCAACCCTGTGCAGGTGCCAGCAATAGGATCCGTGGAGCTTAGGTATGCCACCACCTCCTAGCGCCCCCTGGACCAGGCATGGACACCCACAACCAGGGAAGTTAGGTTTTTCTGCCTCCTGAGTGCTTTGCTCTGCACAGTGAGCAAATATCTAAGGCTTCTGTAGAAACAGGTAGCCCAAGTCAAGCCTTGGTGATACGGCAGATGCATTAGGTAACAGGAGCTCAGCTATAAACATCCCCTGATAAGAACCGACTGCAGCTAACTTATGTGAAAGGTCCTCTGTCATATTTCTACTCACAGAACTGACACCAGCCTCATTCTTCGCATGTCGTGGCAGATGCCTAAGTGATGGAGATGCTAGAGATGGATTCTTGAGAAGAGTCAAGGGCAAGCAGCGAGGAGGGGAAGTTCCTGTCTTATGATTCTTCTAACTCTTCCCAGTGAGTCCAGGGGCTGCAGGGTCCCCAGGCTTTGCCATCTCAGTGCCAGCCATGGTCTCTGCCTGGGCTAACACCCTCCCACCTCCCGCACCAGTGGGCCCTGACCATGGCAGCGACTCCAACGTGCTTCCTGTTGCCTGACCCACTGACAGAAAGAGCCCCTTGTTGTTACATTTATGCCTTTTTCTCCCCTGTGTCTCTCGAATCATCTCTATCATTGGCACTGCCTATATCTGGGGAGACTGCCTGAGGAAAAGCAGATGACCAAGCAAATGAGAATCCACCAGGTTTGTGCCCCTTGTCACTCTCTCTATCACCACCGTGATGAACCCTTCAGCCTTGGTATCTTCACTCAGCCTCTGCTCACCCCAGGTTCTCAGTTCCAACAGTGTGATGCCTGTGTGGCCCCTGTGGGCCTTGGGGGCATCCTGTAGGCTTCAAGGACAGAGAATAGGAAGGAGTGACAGTCAGCTATGGAGATAAGTGTGCAGTAAGTGTTCAGTAAACATCTGGTGATTGAAGGACTAACAACTTTGGGCGCATCAGGCCTTCACTGTCAGGGAGGGTGGGGAGGAGGCTGGCACGCTCCTCCTGATGGGAAGGCATGGGGGTGGGAGGGAAGGGACGTGAAGCCTTGTAGAAGGAATTCTAACAAGGAAGACCCCTGGAGTGCTCCTCTCTCTCTTCTCACTCAGTCCCCTTTGCAGCAGCATTTTGATGCAGGGTGGTTTAGCTGAGACATTATAGCGGTTTGGATCCCCTCTGGGGTGGGCTGTGTGATTTGCAGAACCACAGGGAGCCTTGAGCCAGCCCCAAGGACAGGAAGAGGAGCTGGCTGGGGGCAGGCTGCAAGGGAAAGAGGGACTCAAAGAGCCTGGAGGCTTCCATGTGGTTATCCTTTGGGCCATAGGAGAACCTGGGTGTGGCAGAGAGGAGGGAGAGAGCAGAGGAGTCAGGAAGAAACATGAGATAAGAGAGATATTGAAAGAATCTGAACTTCTTAGGAGTAAAGAAGTTGTCCCCGGGCATTCCAGGGAGACTGATTCCAGAACACTCCCCCTTGGATATCAAAACCCACAGATGCTAAAGTCCCTGATACAAAATGAGACATATCAGCATATAACCCGCTTGTGTCTTCTCATACACTTTAAATCATCTCTAGATTACTTATAAAAACACACTTAAATGCTATGTAAGCAGTAGTTATACTGTATTAGTTTGTATCATTTTGGTTTTTTTTTTTTATCATTGCATTATTATTTTTTATATTTTCAAAATATTTCCATCATGGTTGGTTGAATCTACAAATGTGGAACTTGTGGATAAGGAGAGCTCACTATAAATCCAAAATAGTATGGACCCACCGCCTGACTCTCTGGGTCTACTGTGACTTGCTGGGAGCTGTAGGCACATGGCCCAAAACTCCTTGTGGTGTCTTTACTGCCTTTTATTTGAAAAGTCATTATTAAAACTCTATGAGCTCAAACTGAGAATCAGCAGGTAATTAGAACATTCCAGTTTCTAAATCCAAGTCCTACCCACTAGATGACTTAAGCTTTTACCTTTTCCGTGAATGTGATCAGAATTATTAAAAAAAATGTCCTGGGTTAAGCAACTGCCTGCTTTTGAACTAGTTGTTGATTGTAAATATACAATTATCTCAAAAACTATTTCTAGATTCTTGTTGGCTCATCAAGAATAAGATTAATTACCAGGACTGGCCCAGTGAGTGGCTGGGAACAGCCTGAACACTTTGAATAAAGGCTCCCCTCACAGTGGTAGGGTGGACAGGATAGAGGGGTCTCCTCCACACCCTGGCGGGGGTGGGGGTTGGGTGGCTTCTGCAGTGGGCCCTACGCTACCCATTATTTCATTACTTTTAAAGTATACACATAACCTTAGGCAAAATCAGTCATCATGAGAAAGGGCATCTAAGATTTTATAATGACAATTTCAAAGACAGTGGAAGTAGATTTACTGTAATTGTGAGGAATGTTAGATAAAAAGGAAAAGTCTACCTTAAGCATAACTGTAGCCTTTCAGATCCCCCCAATACTGGTGTTCCCACAGCATCCAACACCTTTGTGGCAAGTGCCAGGTTTGGGGTTTTGCTTATGTAATAAGCGACCGTGTGCACCTGCTGCCTGTAAGTGTGGCTCTATCCTGCTGCCATTATGTTGCTGGCGTAAGTACGGTATCTGATGCATAGAACAGGTTCAACTAATAGCTGCAGAAAAAAAAAAGGAAGGAAGGGAAAAGAGGGGGGTGGGAGGAAAAGGAGACTAGACCTAAAGTAGCCTTTATCACTGCCTAGACCGGCCAGAAGTAGGCAAGATGGGTCATGGTCCAGCCTGGAGCTCATGACAACCACAGAGGAACAGAGAAGGGAAGGGTGGCCTGCTAGTGTGCCCCAAGGCTGAGCCATTTGCTCCATCTTAATGTACAGCTTTGAGATTTCTGATTAACATCTTTAATTCAGCCTGAGCTACTGAGTTCATCTTCTTAAGCAATTATTTTTATTCTTACTTACTTACACGAAAGCACTGGCTCTACTTCACCTTCCCTCCCATATCCCAGCCCAGGAGTTTGGCTCCTCACGGCTTACGTGAGCCACTGCTCCCAGGGCCATGGCATGGCATGCTGAGTTACCTGCTCATTAAGCTGTATGACCTGTGTTTCTAAATCTTTATCAGATTTGGATGCTGAGCTGCTGGATGAAGCCCTTTTGGCTGAGGAGGGACGAGAAGGTGTGGATCCTGGTTTAGATGCTGGACTTGATCTTGCTGCGCCTAAAAACAATCAGAATAAATTATATATATTGGTAACATAAAAAATGTTCTTGAAACATACAGTATACTTATAACAGAAAAAGAATTTACTAAAACATATAAAAGATAACTCCAGTGATCCCTTCCCATGAAGAAGGGAGTACAGATATGCCTGGACAAAGCACACAGGGTTGAACGACGGTGCTATTTTGGGCAATTTATTTAACCTTTGTGAGCGCTGTGTTTGGCTTCGAGTAATAGGAAATTAATGCAATTGTCTCTCCTCCCTCCAGAGAGATAAAAGTAACAGAAACAAAGGATTTAAAATTTTTTTTTTTTTTTTTTT